TGTATAGTTGTATTGTGTATTGGATAGTTTGTCCCGTGTACCTGTAGGTGACGCGTGGCAAGGGGACATATCGTTTCGAAATACAGGGTGTGTGTATTGTATTTATAGCCTTAGTTTGAAAGTGTGTTGTGTATACCGGCATGCAATACGTACCAGCGAGTATGTAGTAGGCCTTACGTCTGAGTAGCGATTGTATATGTAGGGGTGTACTATGCGCGATGATGGAGTGCATGCAGCAGTGTATATTGTATATCGGATGAGAGTGTATGCGAGGGCTCTGCATGCCAATTGACTGTTTTCAATTGCAATTATAAGCAGTGCGTAATGGAATTCGCCTGTAAAACGTTTGTAATTGTAGTTCGGCCCGCTCCACGCATCGATCTAAACAACACCCTGGCAACATCCGCACACCTTTGATTGTAGTATGTGCCTAGCATTCACCTGTAGTGTTGTTTGATTGTAGTATGTGCCTAGCATTCACCTATAGTGTTGCGTTGCATTGCAGCGAGTGTCAAGGAAAGGATTGGGAAGAGGCGAGATACCCTGCGGTTGCTCATCCAGTTGGCCAGCGGTGATAATACGAAGGTTAAGAAACGCGCAACAGAATGCCTGGCCACGGTTCTGCAGTACAACAGTATGTCAGCCTATATGCGACACAGCGACACTGGCGATTTCGTACAGGATGGGCGGTTTGGAATGCATGCCTTGTGGCTAGTTATATGTCGCGCCTGTAAGAAAAGTGTCGCTGTGGCTGTTCTCGATGTTGGCCGTGCGGAGGCTTTGTCCTGTGTACATAGCTGCTAATGCAACGATACGTCTCTCATTATGTGAACGGTGCAAATGGCTTTCTACCTCGGCATGGGACAGTTGAGCTTGTGGGTTTGATTATAGTTTCAATACAATGGGGCGTGCCTCTGTTGACATAGGAAAGTTGTAGTCGTGTATACTTCTGCAGTTCGGTATGTGTGGGTCCCCGATTCCTGTGTATAAGTCCGTCATCATCCGAGAGCTGTCGTTTTGAATATTCCCGCAGTTTGGCATATCCCTCTGCTTTATTTGTATATAGTAACCATGGCAACGGCGGATCTGTACAGTGTCCAGTGAGAGCCGGGAGTATATTTGTAGACACAGATGGCATGCGGAGTTTTCAAATTGGATTCTGTGTGACATGATTGGTCGAAGTGTGGCATGTGGGACCATCCTATCTTTATATATCTGCCTTGCCACTTCGTAGTGCCAGTTTGTGTCGATGATCAGATTTGCGATGCTTAATGGATAAAGCGAGCGATTATCGGGGTTAGGGTTTATGGCTTCTATTCCATAGCAACACATCAGTTATAGTTGCGGTCTGCTGTCACTCCACAGTCTGGCACATGACTGTCACACCCACACACCCACACCCACACACATACACTCACAAGCAGATGGGCGACCGATACCCAGTGGGAGAGATACAGAGTTAACGCATACATGGATAATTTACCAACCTTCTCTGACACACCCAAGTATTTTTCCATCTCTACGATGCATGCAGCTCCTATCAGACGTCGCACCTACAAGTTGCCCATGGTCGACCTACACACGTGCGTTCTCGATTTACGCAGCCATGCTTGCTATGTTTTAACTATACAGACTCCATTAGGCATCGCGCCAACAAGCTATCTGTGGCAAAAGTTATGCCAGCAGTCTCGGTTTCGCTAGTATTACTTACATGCCGATACGCTACACAGAATCTATTAGACATGGCATATACAAGCTGTCTGTGGTCAACTTATACACCAGTAGTGTCGATTTCGCTACTTAGATACTAATACTAGTACTCCCTATGCTTTTGCTCTTAACCATCCATCAGGCACAACACGCACAAGCTGTATGTGGACAAACTATATACCAGGCTTATCGGTTAGGCTAAGTGCTACTTATATACAGATACTCCGCAGAAGTTTGTGGACAAATTATATACCAGGCTTCTCGGTTTTGCTTAGTGCTACTTATACACAGATACTCCGCATATGGTCCCTGTGCATAATCTATAGAGCAGCTCAGCACGTACACGCTGCCCGCCGCCAGATTTCACCTCAGGAATCTCAGCTAGTTCTTCGTAATAAACACGTGCTAACAGTTCGTGGTATTACAATACAGAATCCATAACACACCGCACCCTCAAGCTACCCGGTTCACGCTGCATACCATACTGAGTCATACTGACATACTAAGGGGTCTTATGCTTATACCACGCAGACTTTATTCGGCATCGCGCATATAAGCTGCCCGTGGTCAAGCTATACACAAGTCTCCTTGAGTCGGGTGACCGATCTCTGCGCCACTGCGGGGCTGCAGGTATCAGTCAGATGGCCGTAGACTGCAAGGGACGAGAGATATTGCTAGCGCAGGATCCGGAACGGCGTGTCATACAACGGCTTAGTCGGAGTGTGCCTACTAGCTTGCAGGTATACTTATACTTATAGTGTAGTGGACGTATATATATATATATATATATATATATATATATATAGTGTATGGATATCAACTGTGTATGTAGTGTATATGTACCTACATGCATGTTTATATTCTTACCTTGTATATGAGACACATTTACACGTGAACACGATTATTTTGTATACACGTGGTAAATAATTGTATACACAATTTTTTTATCTTGCCAACACGTACGAGTGCATGTACAATATACATTTCTCATACACTCAAATTCACACACACACACTTACACATATTCATACACACAAAAATACACACACGCACACACATATACATACCAATACACATGGACATACACATAAAATTTTACATAAAAATACACATACACATACACATACACATACACATACACATACACATACCCACACCCGTACATATACACATAGGCATTTATAATCGCGTACATAAACACATCCACACCCACATACATAACCACATACACATAGAAATAGACATACACCTACACCTTTACATACACATACTCATACACACGCACATATACATACACATACACACGCACATATACATACACATACACACGCACATATACATACACATACACATACACATTCACATACACATACATAACCACATACAGATACACGTACACATACACTTACATATACACGTACACGTTTACATACGCATACATACATATCCACATACAGATACAGATACACATACACTTACATAGGGCACCCAGGGCGACGGTACCACGTCTGCGCTGCTGCAGTCGCTGGACATGCTAACTGCATCGTCGAGCTACGCACAGTGTGTACTTGTTCAGGGGGGTGGGCTGGAGACGCTCGTTGCAGTGCTGCGAAAGACAACCGATGTGGACGTGGCAGCGACGGTGGTAGCAGGTATATTTCAGTTTATTGTGAACGTAAATGTGATGTCTATGCGTGTACACACACACACACACACACACACATATATATATATATAGATAAATATATGTATATATATATATATATATATATATATATATATATATATTTACATGTATGTATGTATGTGTGTGTATATACGCACCTCGCGTTTGTGTGGAGTGTATGTGCGGGGCTGTGTACAAGTGCCACACAGCCCACCAAGGTCAAACCCACTTCTTCTGAATGTTTCCCACCACTCTATCACATGTATAGTGCTGCGCAATGCGTCTATGGAAGCCTCCAACAACACACAGGCACATATGTTGCGGAGAGATTACAGTTTGGTGTACACACTGACGGCGTTCTTGGTTTGGTCGGCGAAGGTGCGTGAGCAGGCCACGACTAGAAAAATGGCCACAACGGGGCAGCCGTCTATTGAAGGTGGGTCTATGCATGCGGTGTAGCAATTATAACCTGCGTACATATAGACAGACGGGTGTATATAATATAGTCAGTCACGTGCGATTTGGTTGCAACTCTTTCACGCTATCATCAACTTCAGGTCAAGGTATGCACTAGCCGGTGTTATTGGTTCGGTGGGTGACGGCGCACGAACACGCTTACCCACACATATGCGATACATCCGCACGTTCAACTGCTCTCCCACCGTCGCAATGATTGATAGACGGGTCTAGCGGTAGTACACCTCATCCTACCATGACGTTCTTCATGTTTATACACACAGCTGTACCCACACGGCCTCTAATTCCTACCCACACGGCCTCTAATCCCTACCCACACGGCCTCTAATTCCTACCCACACGGCCTCTGTTTCTACCCACACGACCTCTAATTCCTACCCACACGGCCTCCAATTCCTACCCACACGGCCTCTAATTCCTACCCACACGGCCTCTGTTTCTACCCACACGGCCTCTACTTCCTACCCACACGGCCTCTACTTCCTACCCACACGTCGCCTAACATATCATTTGCACCCACAATATCACATATAGCATTCTAACATATCAATCATTTTATCTTATCATTTGTACCCACAATATCACATATATCATTCTAGCATATCAATCATTTTAACATATCATTTGCACCCACATGCAGATGCCGCGGCGCTTGTTCAGCCCGAGTATGTGGTGTATCTCCCTCCCTCTACGGGTTCATCCGGTGGTCTCAGCACAGGCACTGGCACTGGCAAGGGCAAGGGCAACGGTTACTCGTCGTCGACCCGAACGGTTATTGCGCCTGGTTTCTTCGGAGCCTCGTCCCACCGCACCAATAGAGCGAATGCTCCGCAGGAGACACGCTCAGCCACAGCAATGGCCACACACGGGCTGGCGGTGGGGTCAGAGTCAGAGTCAGAGTCTGGGGGTGACGGTGTGGGTGTGGGCGTGGGCGTGGGCGTGGGTGTGGGTGTGGGTGTGGAGGCGTGCGAGAGTGAGAGTGAGACGCACCCAGGAACCACACAGTCGGGTGTGCGTATGGGGGGTAGTGCAGAGATAAGTGGCGAGGGCCCGTCCAGCGTGGCTGTGGCTGTGGCTGTGGCTGTCGGTAGCCGTGCGGAGGAGAGCGGCGCTGCTGGCACACCTGCAGCCGTGGGAGACCAGGCTACAGCACACCACACTCTCGACACAGCTGAGGTGGAAACACAGGCGCAAGTGGGGGCTGAACACAGAAAGGGTGAGGGTGAGGGTGTGGTGTTTGACGATCTGAGAGCTGGTTATGTGACGCCGGCGGTGGTGGCTGTGTCATGCACCTTCTCGCCCGAGGGCATGATTGAGAGTGCCTGGTCGTCTGCTCTGATGAGTGAGCAGGTACGGCTTGGGACATGTTGTACCAATGTAAAGGAGTGTGGAGTGTGTGTATGCCTTATGATCCGTGTGAGAAAAGCATTGCGGGATCTGATGGGTGAGTGGGATTGGTCGTATGCACAAGTGTATGTGTGGTGCTGCCTATGATATTGTTTGTGCTATCATTTCTATTGTATGAGAACAAATGTGGTGGCTATGTCTTGCCCGTTGTCACCGGAGAGCATGCTAGAGAGCGCATGGACGTCTGATTTGATAAGTGAGCACGTATTGAGCTTTTCTGTCCAATGTCTGTGTGTGGAGTGTACATAGGGTCTATCCGTGAGAATATCTATGGCAGAATTCTGTGGCTGAGTGGACAGTCATCATGGGTAAGTGTGTGTTTGGTTCTATTTAGGATGTTATCCGTGAGGGTATCTCTTGTATGAATTCACCTGCGGTGATTAAGCGCCGACGGGAATTGAAAAAAGCATAAGATACCCCGCGCCCTTACGTGCGAGAAAACATGCTGTTCCTCTTTACTGGGCATGTCGAGAAATATACATCCAAACTTACAGAACATGTATAATTATACATATACATATAGCAAGACGAAGTGCCTGTGTACCCCCATATATAGTCGTATCGGTGTATTTGTCCCGGTTTTGTAAATGTGGTGAATCGGGTCAGCGCACGTGCCGTCTGTCTATCACTAGGAGTCAGGGCAAGGCAAATTTCGTGACCAATACAAACCGAGCACTACCGATAGATGGCATGCGCACCTATTTGATTCTAAGCCTCTTCGTACTTTGACGAATGGGCCGGTCAGTCTGTACTGTACGAGGATACCACAAGGCGTCTCGTCTGTCCTAAACCTTAAACCTTACCTCGGCAAAGAGGAACAGTCACCACCCCCACACCCCCCCAGTGTAAGGACTGACGCATGACATGCCCTCGATTCCTGGGTGACCATGCCGCATATGTTCAACTCCCTTACTACGTTTGGTAGGGCTAGGGGGTCCTTCTCTTCTCACATACCTGCGACACGCCCTGAACCCTAAACCCTAAACCCTAAAAATATGCTAACAAGATCCCTCAGTCAATGACTCGAGTGGCCATGCGATTTCTTATCATCCCCTTCTCCCCCCTTGCAGGGCCAGGAAGCCTTCGCGCTCTCGCATCTCGAGGCGAGTGCGTGCGCGTGTCTCAGAAACCTGCTGGAAGTGCCTGATCTCTGTGCCGTGGTGCTGCCCCCGCCTGGCTGGCAATTCACGTCTGACTTTATGTTCGGCGGACACGCGGGGGGTGTGCTTATCATCCTTCTCACAAACCTCCTCAGCGCCGGCGCCGCCGCGAGTGTGTACGCGTACACGACCACACACACCGAGGTCACCACGCCCACCCCCCCCACACGCCACTAGTCCCAACAAGGGCGAAGGGGAGCCCCACACCCACGTGCACACCCCCACGCTCGATGCCTTGCAAGAGGCGCTGGGGGCGTTGAGTGTGGCGTGTGTGGGTCGGTCATCGGTCAGGAGGATGGTTTGTGGTGCGGATAATGGGCGTATGGTGCAAGGGCTGGTGAGCCTGGCATTCTCGACGCTCAGTGACGGGGTTGGGCTGGCGTGTATGGTGCTGTTGCTGGTGCTGCTGGTGGAAGCGGATTGGACTGCGACCAAGACAATTGAGCAGTATGTTTGGTGGATGTGTAGATGGTGGCCGGTTGTTGTGTGTGAGAAGGGTTAGCGCATGTACAGGCGTGTCTGAATGGGACGTTATGTGATTTCTGGTGATTGATGATATGTTATATCATATGGCTGTACATGGTTGGTATATATACTTACATACATACACCCACATACACGCACACATACACACACACGCGTACACACACACGTACACACATACACACACAGTCACACACACATACACACATACACACACAGTCACACACACATACACACCCAGTCACACACACACACACACACGCACACACACACACACACACACACTATATATATATATATATATATCACGTACACTTATTATAATGAACATATGTGTATGTGCGCGTATGTCGTTTTACCATCTGTACATTATGCACGCCACCTACATTCACGTCGTAGGGATTGAGTATCTTGTTTGCGTGATATCACTAGCCCGATCAGTTATGGCAGTGCTGTGTGTGAATGACATTCTTTTGCATCTGAGGTGCCATGCAATACACTACGGCTGCTCTCATTGGGCTGATCAGATACATGCTGTTACGCATATACAGGTGGGTGTTGACCGTATACATATATTCAGTCCGTCTTACGCTTTGTACTCGCTACACATCGTTACAATGTAGCTGCTCGCATGCACAACGAAATGTTAGATATCTAATTTCTATTTAATGCCTGTACGCCTACCCGTACTATCGACTGCAGGCAAGTAGACTATACAGTGCTGGATGCTCTACTGGACACCAACTCAGGTGCCTTCGGTATTCTGAAGCTCGTGGACGCGTTCATCCTGTCTGATGTGGAGGGCAAGCGTTCCGTGGGCATCGTGATGCTATCCTATCTTTGTCGAGGTATGTTTGTATGATATTGTGTTTGTCGAGGTATGTTTGTATGTTATTGTGTTTGTCGAGGTGTGTTTGTATCTTATTGTATTTGTCGAGGTATGTTTGTATGTTATTGTACTTGTCGAGGTTAGTTTGTATACTATTATATACGCGGCGAACATACCACTCGTTCTGATTTTATTGACTAACCGCGTTGAGGTTGCCTATGGCATAGGGCATACACATACGCTTTGAGCGGAGCGTCGGTGTACCAACGGCATCAATTTTGTCCATTTACATTGAGTAGTCGTACAATGCTATCTTCAGTAATATGTGAGCTGGTTTGTGGTGCCTCATGCGGGTGCTTCGTTGTGCCAGTGTGTATATATCATGCTATTTAGCGCCTGGGTTGAATCACGCTGAGTGTTCCCGTTCGCTTGATACCTGACCGTCTCTATGTGTCGTGGCTGCAGTGTGCTGTGTTGTTCTGCGTTTGTGATGGATGGGTGGGCGATCGTCCCGCCAACCTCCAAAATCCAACACGTCTCTTGCTTTATTTAACTTTTCTTCAGACGGAGTTTTATATATATAACTCGTGTATTTATAAGGATGTTTATGTGTCTGCACGCAGTACTTCTTATTTTCTACGATAATGCTGTTGATGGAGTGTAACCTCTGAGGCTCCGTGCGACGTTTAGTGCCCCACAAGTCCCAAGGTTATATATTTCACTCCTTTTCTGTGGCATATGTTGGCATATGTCAAGCTTCTGCTTGTTTATTGGTCGCCTATCATTTTTATTGCAATTCAAAGCATCACAATCGCGTCATTGTTATCGCAAGTGCGTCATTGTTTTCACAATTGCGTCATTGTTATCACAATTGCGTCATTGTTATCACAATTGCGTCATTGTTATCCCATCGAGTAGGTAGTGCATGCGTGCTCTGGCAAGTGCACCGTATGCTCTCCTGGCTTACATCGCATTCCCACCGACTCTGCAGATGTGGATGCTAGACGTGACATCATGTCGTCGGGGGTCTACGCACATGTACGCGAGCAACAGCGCGTGAACCCAGGAGCGTTCGACAAGGATACGAATGACATAGTAGCGTCTATCATCGCTCAGGTTACACACAGTAACTTGCCGGAGAAGCCCTCGTCCGAAACACACACACACACAGATACAACCCCAGCATTACAGACGGATACAGATGTAGGTCTCACTCCGAGCATGGGTTCAGAGACCCCGTGCGCCGGTGTGGACAGTGCTCTCGCCACGACAGGGGCGGACACACGCGCGAACACGTCTATACTCAACGGGACAACACATGACACAGATAGGGCAAGTACGCACGCACCGGCACACACGGAGCCACGGCCAGTGCAGCGCCAGAAGGGATCGGGCGGGCCTGAACATACGGAGGCTTGCCAGAGCGCTAAGTCGATACTAAAGCCGTTCCTGAGCCGTACCTGTGTCCAGCGTGGGCATAGCGCGACGCCAGAGACACGTACGACAAACACACGGCTAAATACGCGGTACAGCTATGGCAAGCAAAAGCAGACGCATAGGAGGGGAAGCCCCGGGTTGGGTGCTTGGGGTCCGGAGACCATTGCGCACGGGCCGCTGTCACTGGTGGATGCACCTCAGAGGGCTCGGAGGGACCGGAGGAGTAGTCGGCTTGCGTCTCATTCTAGTGCTACGTATAGTGGCTGTAGCAGTAGGACGGCCCAGGGCATTGAAGATGGGAGTGATAGTGAAAGCGGGACGGATAGCGGGACAGAGGTGGAGAGTGGTGCAGGTGGCGGGTCATCGGATGAGGATGAGGCGGATATGGGGAGGGGTAAAACAATGGCAACTGCATATAGGCCACGGGAGAGCAGGATATGTGGGGGTGGGCGAGGGAACATTGCCCCACGAGAAGGAAGCACTAGCAGGAATAGTAGCGAGTGGGATGTGCGTGCTGTAGACAGGTTAGTGGGGCACTCTCAGTCGGCGGGGGCTGTGGGGCAACCCCGAGCCACGCCACCCATGGAGAGTAGCACAGGCAGGAGGAGGCAGGGGCACGACAGGGAACGAGGGGTGAGGTTAGAACTAGAGACAAGATAGTGTATAAGTGTCCCAATAAGATGCGAGAGCAGTCAATTTATAAACATATGTACACACACACATATATACACGCAGACACACACACACACACACACACAACAAATAACAGACACACACACACACTACTTCACACACACACATACTACACACACACACACCACACACACACACACACACACACACTACACACAACAATATACACACACACTACTCACTACTACACACAACACTACCTACCACAATATATATATATATATATATATATTACTATAGATACTATACTATACTATA